GGGGGGGGGGGGGAGGAACTTGAGTGAAAGATAAGTTAAGGAAAGGAAGAACAGTAAATTATGCCATGGATATATATTAAAATTAGTTTTTTTAACGTTTCTTTAGTTTTGTGTTCAAATGTGTGTGCACGGAGGCCTTTTGGTATCTATTAAAAGATACGTACACGACATCTAGCCTTAAAAATGTCTATTCTATGCAGTTTTTCAGTGCTTTATAATGTTTCTCAAAATAGCATAGGCTAACGGAGTAAAAATGCTCAGGTTTTGGAGAAAGATATAAATGAAACTGAGTGATGAATTATCATCATGTGTGCATCCCTCAACACCACTGCTATGTTTCCATGTTAAATTCTTTTGAGCAGATTCAGTGATGATGCAATTTAAAAACTGCTCATCTTAAGCAGCATCTACGTGGGGATGAAACGCTTCTACATATTCTTATTACGAGCATACACTGGAATTGTGCAAGATGTTTACAGTAGTAGGAAATACTGCTTTGGCAATTATAAACATAGCAATGTAGGTTTCAAATGGTTTCTATTCTCTTGTCTTTACCAAGTATAGATAAATTCTCACAGCAATACTGATTCTTGAATAGAAAGTCCATCCCGATTTCTGTAGTGATATCCTGGAGGCGAGGGCCCTGAATATTGATACCCAGAGGAACCGGCATCTTCTAAACCTGGTGAAGTTCTGTATCGCACTGGACTATCTACTGAGACTGCTGGGAGGCTATGGTCCTGAAAGGGAACATGCTGAAAGGCGGAATATTTTGGTAACTTGCTCAAGTGGCTACGGTTAGCATCTTGAGTCCACAGCTGTCCGTGAGTCTCAGGTCTGTATGTGTAACTAACTTCTGACCATTTCCTGTTATCTGGCAGATAATCCACTGGAGGAATGATGAATTTCCCATGCTTTGGTGACTCCGAATTGCCTGAATACCCCCCGGCACCGGTCTCCACAGGAAGAACTTCTATTCGGCTGGATGGCAGGACAAGAGGAAGAGGGCGGCTGTAAGATTTCTCTGGAGAAATATCGACTGAAAGAGTGGAGCCATAAGGTCTCCTGGAAGGATTCCCTGGAGTCCCATGGGTAAACTGTGGCGATGCAAAGCTGCTGTCGGCAGCAGGGATGTGTTTGGGAGAATTTCCGTGGTACACAGGGGGGTTACTGTAGGAGGGTGGGTGCACTGTCCTGCGATCTTCCCCGTCTAACGGAGACGGGTATTTTGTGTAACCTGCAGGCTGCACTTTAAAAGTAAACTTGTTTGAGGCTCTTGATGGACTAGACCCTGGCTCCACATGCTTCCTGGGACTGTGACAGTAAGCTCTTTCTAGCGCCTCTTCAATAGACGCGCTGTTATCATTCTCGGGCACGTTATCGTACTGGGATGCATTGGAGCCCCGTTTCCCTTCATCGACATCCCAAACCTTCATCTTTTGCCTCACATTCGACATCCGAGTATCAGCAGAACTCGGGACGGTGGCTGTGAGCGAGGGGTGTGCTGACCTACTTTTGCCTTCGATGGCATATTTGGCAGTTTTTTCAATAGCTGAAGTGTCTGACGGTTTATTCCACTTGGGCACAAATTCCTTCCTGACAGTTGAAGTGGCATTGCTGTTCTGGTTAGCAGCTGCGTGATTATATTGCCTCGAACTGTCTTGTGGGCCCGATGGAAGTTTTCTTTGCAAATCTGCTTCGTCTTTAAGCTTTTTACTGTCTTCGTCCACGGATTTCCTTCTCAGCGCCCTTACTCTTTCTGGTGTGCCAACTCGACCTTGATGGTGAGGGGAATGCTCATGCTTTTTGTGGGGTGAAGAGTTGCTCTCTCTTCTGCTGTTCAGAGGGGGACTTGACCTGCCCATGCTTCTTTGTCCGTTGCTCAGGTGACTGATGCCAGCAGACTCGGGTGGAAGCTGTCCCAAAGGTTTCCGTGGGTATTCATCCTCTTTACCTAAAGGGAAAGACAGATCCATAAATAACATAAATACAGCAGTAAATAATATCAAATATAAAACCACATGATGAACAACGGTATACTTTTCATCTGAGCACTCATACACATAAACCACAGAATCTGGGGGGTTTAGGAGAAGCAGTTTTTAGGGAGACTGATACTAAAACATACCACAAGTCAAAATCTTATTAGACAATGTGCAGGTGGGAATATTTTATGAACTTATGAGGAAGGTTGATACAATTATGTAACATGTGATTCTTATGTTTTCTTAAGCTATACTGTTATGTGTCTTCAAGGACACACAGCTGACACTCTCATTCTCATTATTACAACCCTTATGCAGGTCAGCAGTTCAAGGTCCTACTGTTACTTTCGCTTTAGTTGGCCTGAACTAAAATGGTTTCAAAATCTCAGTCAAACTTCTATCAACTTTCAGCAGGTCTACCAAATTGAAAAGGCAGGTGATGACCAAGCGTGGTCTCAAAGTTGTTCCCAAACAGCTTACTATTACTATTATTATCTTAAGTACTTGCCACAGTATAACTTCATAATAGAAAGAAATAGTATTCTATCTCAAAGTTAACACCTCTAAAAGGATCCTACTTCAAATGCAAAAGAGAAAAAAAATTTTAAAAAGAAAGAAAATTATACTGGATACTTTCAGTTTTTTATTTTACATAATTAACACCAAAAAATTAATCAAGAATTAAAGGAAGGTGCAACAAATTGGGCATTTAGTAAACAGTTTAGTACATCCACTCTCACCACCGTTATTCACCAGTTATTCAACATAGTGCTGGAAGTCCCAGCCACAGCAGCCAGACAACAAAAGGAAATAAAAGGCGGAAGAAGTAAAACCTTCACTATTTGCAGATGACATGATACTATAAAGAGAAAATCAGAAAGACCCCACCCATAAGCTACTAGGACTGATACATGAGTTAAGTCACAGGATATAAAACCAATGTACAGAAATCTGTTGCATTCCCATATACTACTGATGAAGCAGCAGAAAGAGAAATTATAAAAACAATCTCATTTACAATTGTACCCAAAATACTAAAATACTTACAAGTAAACTTAACCAAGGGAGTGAAACACCTGTAACTCTGAAAACTCTAAAACACTAATGAAAGAAATTGACAATGACAGAAAGAATTGGAGAGACATTCCATGCTCATGGAAGAACAAATATTGTTAAAATGTCTATATTGCCCAATCTACACATTTCATGCAATCCCTATTAAGATACCAACAGCATTTTTCACAGAACTAGAATAATCCTAAAATTTGTATGGAGCCACAAAAGACGCCGAGTAGCCAAAGCAATCTAGAAAAAGAAAAACAAAACTGGAGGCACCACAATTCCAGACGTCGAGCTACACCACAAAGGTGCAGTGATCAAAACAGTCTTGGTACTGGCACAAAAATGGACACAGAGCCCAGAAATAAACCCATGATTAATTAGTCTCTGACAAAGCAGGAAAGTACATGCAACGGGAAAAAGACAGCCTCTTCAACCAACGGTGCTGGGGAAAACTGGACAGCAACATGCAAAAGAATGAAACTGGGCCATGTTCTCACACTGTACACGAAAATAATCTCAAAATGGATAAAAGACCTAAATGTGAGATCTGAAACCATAAAAATCCTAGATGAGAGCATAGGAAGTTATGTCTCTGATACTGGCTGTAGCAACATTTTTCTAGATGTCTGTTCAGGCATGGGAAACAAAAGCAAAAATAACTGTTGGGACTACATCAAAACAAAAAGCTTCTGCACAGTGAAGGAAAAAAATCAACAAAACTAAAAGGCAATGTACTGAATGACAAAAAATATTTGCAAATAACATATCAGATAAAGGGTTAGTACCCAAAAATATATAAAGAACTTCTACAACTCAACACTCAAAAAAAAACCAAATAATCTCATTAAAAATGGACAGAAGACATGAACAGACATTTCTCCAAAGAAGATATACAGATGGCCAACAGACACATGAAAAAATGCTCAACATCACTCATCGTCAGGGAAATGCAAATCACAACACAATGAGATATCACCTCACACCTGTCAGAATGGTGAAAATGAAACACAACAAGCAATAAGTGTTGGCTAGAATTTGGGGAAAAAAGGAACCCTCATAGACCATTGGTGGGAATGCAAACTGGTGCAGCCACTGTGGAAAACAGTATGGAGGTTCCTCAAAAAGTTAAAGTGGAACTACCCTAAGATCCAGTAACTGCACTACTGGGTATTTACCCAGACAATATAAAAACACTAATTCAAAGGGATACATGGACTCATATGTTTATAGCAGCATTATTTAAAATAGCCAAACTATGGAAGCAGCCCAAGTGTCCACTGATATATAGAGAAGATGTGCTATACATATACAATGGGATATCATTCAGCCATAAAAGAGGATGATATCTTGCCATTTGCTACAACATGGATGGGGCCAAATAGTACAATGGTAAGTGAAATAAGTCAGAGAAAGACAAATACTACATGATTTCACTCCTATGTGGAATTTAAGAAAACAAATGAGCACAGGAAAGAAAAAAGGAGAGACAAACCAAAACAAACTGTTGGTAACTAGAGGGGATGTGGGTAGGGGGCTGCGTGAAGGGGATCAACTGTACACTTGTCCTGATGAGCACGGAGTAATGTATATACTCGACACCTGAAACCAATCTAACACTACGTTAACTCTACTGGAATTAAAATACAAAACTTAAATATAAAACATTAAAAAAAATGAAACACTGAAAATGATTATAATGTAGATATCCAATAAATATCATCTTGAGAAAAAGACAACAGACTTCTCTTGTACAAATTCCATGGTTTAAAATGTGACTTTCATGAGGCGCCTGTTTGGCTCAGTTGGCGGAACATGGGGTTCCTGATCTGGGGTTGTAACTTTGAGCCCCTATGTTGGGTGTAGAGATTACTTAAAAAAAATCTTTAAAATAAAATTTTCACAGATTGAAAAATAATACTCTCACTTACAAATATGTGGTTGCTCTTCAGGTATCTTCCTGCCCATCCATCTACAAGAGTTACTGAGTGAGCTCTGCTCTGGGCCAAGCAATGTGTCACCAGAGGCGAGCGCACAGACCCCGTTTTCACGTAGCTCACACTCCGGGTGATGGTAACTTTGTTCTTCACCCACATATGGGACTTTTGAGATATTAAAAAAATATATTCAGTGAGCTTTTCTTTGGGGGGGGAGGTAGCAGAGAGTGATAGAGAAACAAGATCCTTTAAAGAGTTAAGCTATGCCGCAATCGGAATTAAGCCAAAAATAACCTTTGTGACCTTGGAATCCAGGAGTTTTTAAACTTTTTAAGACCAGGCTCTTTTTCTTCAAACCAAATTCCATATAAGGCCCCAATATATAAGGAAAATATAAACACAGCTGCTCTGATAAAAGTGGAAAGTCACCCCTTTTCCTCTTCCCTCAACTGGGCAGCTGCTCAGAGCCCGAGGGTTCAAGGTCTAGTTCTGCCTGCACTGGAAAGATGGGAACAGAGCTTCAGAGAAGCCATGTGATCAATCTCTCATGGCAGACACGGAATGGGATCCAGGACCCCGTGTTTTCACGCCCAGCTCACTGCTTTCTGCCACTGTGGCACATTCATTAAACTCCAGAGACACTGCGGATGGTTTTAGCAGACTCTACTGTGACAATCCTTGTGCAAGCTCTTCATTTTGCACATTTGAAAGCACACAAATCACTAGAATTGGCAATCAGGGTTTGTTCCATTCATTTATCCATTCAACAAATACATATGTATCAAGCAAATACTATGGCCCAGGCACTGCCCAGGGAGCTGCCAATCCAGGAAGGACACCAAGGAAGAAGTTCCCACCCTCATGGAGCACACACGCTAGTTGTGCAGAGCCAGGAAGACAGCACCAGAGAAGGCAGTGGAAGCGAGTGGGGGTGGGGCAGGACCGCACAGGGCAGAGCTCTGGCGAGGACAGAGGCGCTCTGTGCCTGGAGCAGGAGACAAGCAGGGACCAGCGGGGGACGAGGCCTGAGGAACAGCAGTCACATCACGCAGGGCCTTGAAGATTACAGTAATGGCTCTGAACCTCTTTCTGAGTTAACTGCCAACTCCTGGGGCCTTTTCAGTAGGAGGAACACCATCTGATACTATCTTACCAAGTTCACGTTGGTGGGTTAGACTTACAGTATGTAATACTTAATGGTGGTAACAGTAATAGCTAATATTCATTAAGCACTTAACGTGCACCAGATACTACTCAAAAAATACATACGGCATTTAGGAACAGGCGTATAACTAAGGTCACTACTCTGACCTCTCACTGTAGAGGAGGAAATCCAGGCAGAAATGACATTGTTCTCATATCTTTTTACCATAATAATGACATTTTACGGTACATGGACACAGTATTTTAAGTGATAACCCAAACGGTGAAATGCTTGTCGATGACAAAAGTTGTCCTTGTCTTTGAATGCTGTATGTAAAAGCATCTGAGGCAATTCCAGTGCAGCATCTGACTAGTCTCACAGGAACTAGCTGGAATCAAGGTAAGAGAGGGGACTCACATGCAGCCCGAGTCAAGAATATTCACAAGTAGTTACTTAGCCTATTGAGTTAAAAACTAACCATACAAATAAAACTAAAATCAATCCGAGTCGCCCAAAAGCTTTCACCCGCTCTACAAATAGTTATCCATTTAGTCCCAGATAAATGTAGGAATTCCTTCTTCCCTATAGACAGATAACACCAACAAGAAAATTATTAAGAAGATATATAGACCTATGTAATTGAAAAACTGAACTTAAGACTCTTCTTTGACAATTTTCTGAGGGCACAGCATAGGAACCTGAATGGCTAATTCGGTGGCTGGCTGATATGCCATCAGAAAAAAATATCGGCCAATCATCACAACACCCTTTGCAGGTTGGTGAGTAGGAACCTGATGAAAAACATAACCACTAAAAGGAACAGGAAAAC